AGTGCAGTCTTCATCTCGGCTGGAAACACACCTTGCAACATAGAACCGTTTATTATGTGCAGGAGGATCGGTGCCAACTCCTGAGAGCATTTCTTCAACATGAAAGTTGGAATAGGGTCAAGACTACAAAACTTGTTAGACATCTTAGAAATGGTGTGTAACAGGTGCTGCCTAGTGATGGAGTGAAATTTATCAAATGATGGCCCTGAATAGGTGCTTTCAAGATTCTCTGACGATGACAAGTTCCCTCCGATATGACTTCCTTCTTCTTCTATCCCAAGTCTGATATCATTCACTTTATCCGCAAAGAAAACTTTAAAACTTTCTGCAAGTTTTTTAGTGTCATTACCATGTGGCCTTTCTTGGGTAGTTTCACCCGTGAGTCTATAAACTTTCTTATACAGAGCCTTCGTATCTCCCGCAGAGGCTAAGAGGGCTTTTCTATTGTAAGTAATCCTCTTCTGTCGCTCAATGACAATAAATTTGTTCCTGAGGTTGACAAAAATATCCTTCTGTCCCTTGCCTTTCCTCCAGGCTCTCTCAGCTGCTCTCCTCTGCCTCTGTAAAGCTTTCAGATCCTGATCCATCCAAGGTTTACCTTTGTCTTCACTCTTCATCTCCTTACTGATCACAGGACAATGCTTGTCCATAAGTTCCAATAGAATACTATTGTACATCTTAACTGACTCATCAAGACTCTCAGAGCACCAAGCATCTCTTTTACAGAGATCAGAAACCAAAATATCTGCTTTAAAATCCTCAACCACAATACTTTTAAAATCACGGTAGTTCATCACCCTAGTATCATTCAAAGAGGTCTTCAGGCTCACAGACACTACAAATTTAACAAGAAAATGATCTGATCTAGTCCCAGATTCCACAATGTTGATAGAAGTTATAGAGTCTTTAAAGACTTTGGTCGTTATCACGAGGTCAAGAGTTCCTCCTTGATTGTGAGTTCTTTCTAGTGGTACACATTGGATGAAACCAAGCTGATCAAGAAGGGAAAGAAACTTTGCGGGGTAAAGATCTTTAGGTCTTTCAACATGTAAATTAAAATCCCCTGCAATCACCGGGGTTCCTGGCTTACCGGACAAATCACACAGGTATTCACTGAATTCTTCCAAGAAGTGGCACTCAGTGTACCTGGCCTTTTTGGTGTAAGGCGGTCTATACACATCAATAAGTCTGATTATCCCAGTATTTGTTTCAAGTACAACTTCCATGACTTGGTAAGACTTGTACTTCTTGACTCTACCGTTGCTTTTCAACTTAAGGTTCTTATTGAAAATCATACCTATACCTCCGCCACTACGATGCTTCCTTGGGTTGGATAAAATACCCCAACCAAAATCTCGTATCTCTTGTAGCTTTGCAGTATCTGCTTCCTTAAGAAAAGTCTCTTGAAGAAAACAGATATCAACCCCCTCATCAGTTAGGTGCTCAAGAACCTCTACTGTCTTGTTCACTAGACGATTAACATTAAACGTGGCTAAGACTAGTTTATCCCAAGCTCTCTTTGTCGAATCTTTGCCCACTGGAGATAAGAGTTTTTTGATGTTTCACATCCGCTCGTTCTGGCCATGATATAACTCTGCTCTCTCACATAAGATGGGCATAATCTGTCAGCTGCAGAATGTGTCTTGCATTTATCTTTGACATTCTTGTCTTTACTGTTGCTACAGTTCGTACACTTGATACTAGATCTTCGGCCCGCCGTTTTCTTCTCACAATCTTTCGATTTGTGGGCACCTGCACAGTAGAAGCACACTGGGTCGGCATTATACTTCTTACACTTACAGTAATCACTGCCACTCATGTGTCCGAAGCTCTGACAGTCAAAGCACTGGATTACATGATACCTATCCTTAACTTTATACTGTCTAAGATCAGCGTGTACAAAGTCACCTGACTCCCTTATAGACTGCCTGATTTTCACTGACACTTGTAGGCATGCCCAGTTCTTGTTTTTCTCCAGGAAAATAACCTTGAAAGTGTTGTTCTCATCTTCAACTAAACTCTTAATGGAACTGTTCTTATCAAGGATGCTCTGGCGCAATTCTTCAGATGACTCAAAATCTCCCTTGAGATCATACATAGTAAGCTTAGGTTCAAGCATTGGCACGGTGTGGGATTTTGCAGACACTTTGTAGTCCACACTAAGAGCATCTTTAGCTTTCTCCATAAGTTCCTTGTTCTTGAATATTAACCTTGCTGTGCCTTCTTTGACACCTGAGACCCCCTTAATAGGGATGCTGGGCAGTATTGATGCGACATGTTTCTTCACCTTTGAGGACCAGAGTTCTTCTGTTATCTTATCTGCCTCATTCTGCCCTTCCAGAGTTAAAGTATGAGTCTCACTGGGTCCGAGATTGGTCTTAATCTCAGGTATAATATCTGGACCACCTTTATTGTGCTCAATGAGAATTTGTCTAAATTGTGCTAGCTCCTTTCTCACTATATCTAGTGCCTCGGTAGCTGTCCCTTCCTGTGGTGCAGGTGTGTCTAGTATAGACTTGGTCTTCAGTAGTGACAGGGCCCTCTTACTGAAACTGTATAGTTCCTTTATAACTTCAAACATATCCGGCTTGCTATTCCCTGTGGGTAAGTCTAAAGAATCTGCAATTATAGTATCCAACTTCTTCTTACCTTTTAAACTGTCGTTTAACGTTTCTAACTCCTTTTCCATCTTGTCATAGACATCAGTGATAACCATTGCTGTAAAGGATTTGAGACCTCTCTACTTTAACTCAAACCAAATAAATATAGTGGTAAGTGCTGAAAAGTACTTGATAAACCCACTAAAAGCTGTTGGTCGTCGTTTAAAACGCAGTAAAAACCTCAAATTATTTGTTATATAGTAGTGTTGAAAGTATTAAAACTGTATATATATATATATATATATGTTAATTGTGGGTGGCGTCGTCTGCTTACAGTGCTCAATCGGCAAGCTGAGAGCTAGATACAAAATGAAACGACCGGTTGAGTCAGACAAATGTTTCAATCATGATACAAAACCATGATATCGTCAATGACAACTGCAGAGGTATAGGAACTAAAATCAAAATTACAAAGCTAAAAATTAACATAAACATTCACTCGTGAAACAATACTAGGGGTTAGATATATGAGTCATTAGATTATAAAAGGAATTTCCGTTTATGGCGGCATTTTGTAAGGATTTCCGTCCTGGAGTTAAGTAAGTGTGGGTCAGAGGATCGAAGTAAGATTTCTAATCTCTCAGACGTGCACAGATCGCAGCTGTTCTGGCCGGCTCTGTATCCGTGTCCACGTCTGATTATTTTCCATTCGATCCTGAATTCTAACCCACGGTCTTTGAAGGACCAGATCTTCTCCGACAGTTTGGTTCTATTTCGGTACCGCTCCAGGCGAAATGATGACGTGTGTCCATTGTACCGGTCCTTGAATGTGCCCTCCGTCATTCCGATGTAGTGGTGCTCCTCATTTTCCGTACTCATTATTTTCCCCCTTTTTTTACCATTTAATTTCACCATTAAATTGATGTCTTGTCTGTCTAGATAAAAAGTAACTTAGAGTCAACCCATGTAACAAATGTTGTTAGTGCGGTCATTATTTTTTATATGGCAATGCAATGTTCCAATCTGGTACTGGTATAGTAGTGACTCTACTGCTCTTATCTAGAAGTACACTACTATACGGTATTTTTTTTCTACTATGATCAAATTCTGCATTCTGTCTTAATTCCATTTCCAATACCATGGCTGGAATGTTGGTATAATTTCCACTTGAATTGAGTAGCTCAATCGTTTGCTTCCTGGGCTCCGATTTCTAGCTGAGTCCTGACGCTTCAGATATTAATAGTTCCATACCTACTCACGGCACATTTTTTGTGCCGTTAAAAAACACTCAGTCAATGTAGTTACAATATTGTCACACACTGGTTACTGTAAGGGATCACGTGTCAAGTCAATGAAGTCAATTTAACGGGAATGGCCAATGGGGGCCGGGGGGGCGCCGCGGTAATAAAGAACATGATTATATACCCCGGATTTACTAACCTTATGCTCTCTGAGTGGCTTTACACTATATTAGAAGTAGAAGTAGATGTGTCCTCCTCCTGAATCGTAAGGCATATTACAGTTACACCGCGACTACCGCACACAGTAACTGTAAGAAACTATTTTATCATACATGAAGTACACAAATAGAGATGCCCCAGTAATTTCAATTTTATCTACAATTTAACTTCATTGATTAAGTTTATCTAATTTAATTATTGCAGATTACAGATTACCCCAAGCTTCGGCACGGCTCTGAGTTCTGACCGTTCAGTAAAATTTAAGAAGTAGCCTTTGTGAACAGTCAACAGTGAACACGACAAAGTTTGGATTCAATCAAATCGTGTACAAGATTTGACCAAATTAGTTCAAATTATGAAATGGACACCAAATTAAAAATATTTATAGTTATAGTTTAAGTATAGGGGCTATTTACATATCACGTAATCACTTTTTTTATTTCAGCCTTATTATGTTAATTTTTAACCCCCCTCCGTAATCAGTTTTACAAACAGCTATTATATCAAAATCACACTAGCAGTAGCGTAATCATTTGAAAATCCCCCTACCCCCTCGGCTGATTACGTAATATGTGAACGACCCCAATTAGTCATCATCCACCCAGACCAATTTTAAATCGTTGAACTTGATTGTCTTTGGCAACCATCTATAATTATAAGCACTAGTCTTGTCTATTTTTTATAATCATAAATAAGATGACCAGCGAAAGCCCCGAAAGTTGAATTACTTACTTCATACTTCTGCTGTTAGTGTTGTTGCAGAAATGGATTTGCAATAGTTTTGTCTCCTCCTTGACTCTTCATCAATTAACGTTGGACAATTAATTCCATTTCTATACAATATATATCAGCGAACTGATTGCTTATAAAATATCAGAATTCAGAATGTGAATGACTTAATTAGTATTAAAAGTGATAACGAGGCAGTGAAACAAGTATGTCACAAAAAACCGAGATAATAAATTAGATCATGATTATTTAGAATATATTTACAAATGGAAATCTCACTGTTCTTGTGTTTATCTTCAATCATATTTTATTATACTTACTTTAACTTAGAATCTCGTGGCTGCTTCAAGATTTCAGCCTTATTATTGTCAATCCATAATTTGATTTTGAGCGATGAATCAACTTATTGAGTTCGTTTTCATAAATTTGCTGTCAATCAATATTTCCAATCCCTATACAGTAAACAGAAAATGGCGAACACGTAAAGAAAGAAGAACTTTTTCTACGTTGTTTGATTAAGTTAAACATAATTCATAAATTCAACCAAATCGACTGTAAACACATTCCTATCTGCTCATTTCTGTAATATCTAACTATCATTAATCATGCTAAAATATCATACGCTTTAAAAAATCTCTCATTGCACAATCGAATTAGAAAATTGTATATTCACTTACATTGAGCTTTCTAACGTGAATTTTATCAAATTTGTAAAAAGCAATGATGAAAACTTCAAAAGAAGCAAAACTCGGTAAAATAAATAGCACAAATACTAATTTAAGGTATAAATTATCTTCAAAATTGCATCAACTCAAGAGTATTATATCTAGAACTAGGTAACAACAAAAACAGATAATTTATAATCTAAACAGTAAACAAAATGGTCAGGAATGGTCGGGGAACTAATCCACCGCCCAATAAATACAATAACTGTGTAAATTTATGTTCGGGTCCACGCTCATTCAGTACCTATTAAAGTCAATTTACAATTTTATGATAATGAACAAAAGGAATCGAACTGAGAATATTCGATCACATCTTCGTTATCAATTCTTTGGAAGTTTAGATGTGAACAGGTGACATTTATTCACTATTCTAGTAATAACCGTCAACACTTGAACAGCTACTCGGGTTTCTTATGAGAAGGACCTTACAGAATCTGCACGGTTGTCTTCCTGGATCTCCTTGAAGCCAGTAAGCATCGGATCACTAGAAGACAGGGTTGTTCTGTGAACAGGAGGAGGAGACGTAAGGTTATCACCGTTGCTAAGAGATTGCACGTGTCGGTTCAATCCGTTCTCGTGCGTTGTCATGTGATCTGATGATCCGTTACTGGTAGGATATTCCACGTGGTTGATCGTGTGGCTGGAATTTGAGGAAGTCACCTGGCTAGCACGGGACTCGTGCAGGGATCCTTCAGAACGGTCTGGTGTTGCAGTGAGGTCAGACTCAGATGTACGGGGGATCGGAGACATCAGGTCCGAGCGGTTGAATAACTTATTCTGCGGCCCAACTTCGAACACCTGCAAATGAATGGAGCTTAATAACAGATCACTGGTCAGCCATATTATCAAATATATGAAAACATCATCAAACAAACAGAAAAGCTTTGTGTAGAGTTTAGCCTGTACTTTTAGCAAAACTGAGACACAGTAGGGGAAAAAATCTCCCGAATTGTCGCCAAGAATATCTCGGGCAGTCCGACAATAATTATTATTTATGTGAATTCGACGGCCGCAACGTTAATGTGGCTCTTGCTATGTGTTGGTTCAGCCGAATTAATTATTATGTAATCAAGTTTATTTTTCTCGTTAGTTGTCATCCGGCCAAACATTAAGCAACTTATATTGCAGTACCATTTATCAATTAGTATATCAAAATATGTCATTGTTATTTTGCATGGCTGAAATGTAACGCTTGATTTATATATATAATGATTAATTGAATTTTCAAATTAGAAAAAAAATGAACACACTCACCACAGATTCCTTTACAGCTCGTGGTATTCTTATTTCTACGACCCCGTAATGGTAGTCTATGTCCATCTCTGGGGTCAGATTACCGCTCCCTGAACAGTTTTAGTTATGTTATTCATTTTTCTTATAATTGTGTTGTTCATAAATCCGCCCTATAAGGAGGAAAACACAACAATTTTCACTATTAGAAATTCTCAAAAAGTTACAGGAACTCAAGAAAAAATGGATGTCTAAGAGTTACTATACATTATAAAAGACAAACCAGGAAGCGGTATGAGAATCTCGAACATTCCGAGTAACCTATCATCTCTTACAACGTGGGAACCCTGCACGTCGTACTTTAGCTCGGTGTTGGTTCTTTCTCCCCGCACTCTGGCAACAGGGTTAGTACTTAGTAATTATAGGTTTTATAGTTTATTATTAATAACCCGCCTTGGTACAGTACTGGTTCTAACTAGTTTAACTTTATTGTCGTCAATAATACCAGCTATCTTTAGATTATATATATGCCAGCTATCTTTATAATCATTGGATTATTACTCTGATATTGATAATCATGATTGTTTTCGTCATTTTAAGAACCAATTCAAGAACCGATATTTTATAAACATTTGGCCGCCAAATTTTTTAAACTTTATTAGATTAGTAGAAGTTAGAGTTTAAGTATTAGATTATTAGAAGTACAGTATTAGATTATTATTATTAAATTATTATAAGTATTAAATTATCATAAGTTTACCTGAGTTCGGTGTTGTTGTTGATTATCTCCACCCTCAAGTTTATTGTACCCGGAGCGTCTATGTGTACAAACACGTAGTCTGCGTTCTCTTTAATTGTGTGGGTGGCGTGGTATCTGCGATTATCAAATTTTATTAATAAGTTTCATGACAAATATTGAGCATCTTTAAACAGTAATGATATAATATGTATTACCTAGAAGTAGAAGAATGTGGTAAAAAACTTAAACCGAATCAAAGTTACACACGAGTTAACGGCATTATATAAGCTCCATAAGATTAAATTATTAACTTATTCAAGTATTTTTGTTTTTCATTTCAGATATTTTCGTGGCACCCAAAATAGACCAGTATAAACTATTCTGTTCCGATATAATATTCAGAAATAAAAAGCATGACATAAGGTTAAAACGCTTCCCCGAAAAGTTATAGATAAAGAAATGTTATGGTCATTGGTCACGTGACAGGCTGGTCACGTGACAGGCTAGTAAACAAGACATGAAATCTAAAAACCGCATTCGTATGATTCAATAATTAACTCAAACTGTCCACTGTGATCTCACAATTACAGCTACAATTAATTATTGAGATTATCAAATGTTGTTTATTGATTCGTTGAAGCACGCATGGTTATTGATAAGTTTCAAAAAGTCAACACTCAACACAAGTATTCAATATTAGCGTCATCACAGTGATTTTGCCCCATTACACAAATGAATAATTAGGTCTCATCATACACAAAGAGGACACGTTGTACTATAATATATTACTTACTGGCCATCCCACGGCTTTCTGCCACTGACATGGTAAAAACGTGACAACGCCACCAACAAATCTAGCTAAAAACTATTGCTCATTTCATAATATTCAAAGAACTTCAATTCCTAGAAGCGCTAACCGGCTAACTATGGTAACACGATAACCAACGTTGCTTAATGCTTATATTCATTTTAATTTTTATCTGAAGTGCTTTTCAGAATAAAAGTATACATCAAAGTCTGTTTGGATATAAATCAACATTTTCCATCCTAAAAGTAAACAGCTACATTCTACAATTTACAGAAATATTTGTACAATACTGACTTGCTGGGTAATTTATCATGGTGCAGGAGCGCCCCACTCTCAGCGAAGGTAAGGTTAGAGTGAAGGGTAACAGGTCCCAGCTCCCTTCCCACTATCCTGTACGCAGGCCCTTGGGAGGTGTCGTCTGATCCTGCAGAGGTATGTGCAGAGGTATGTATTGACTTGAGCCGCGCATAGTGCGCCTTTCCTGAACTATCTGTCGCCGATTTACTATAGACTTATAGATAAGTAACAATGGGCACTCTCAGCACAGGGAGACTAAAGTGCAGCAGTTAGCAGCAGTCAGCAGCAGTTAGCAGCAGTTAGCAGCAGTTAGCAGCAGTTAGCAGCAGTTAGCAACAGTTTTATGCGTGTCTTTAGTCTCCCTGTGTCAACCACGTTAAAATAAACATTTTGTTCTGGAATGGCGGTGATCCAGATATCATAAGGACAAATTCATGAGGGGCACAATGAGATGAACACTAAAATTTCATTTCAATTATAGACAGTTCTCAAATTGAACTGCAAATGAGCGTATTAATAAAGTATCTGGTCAAAACCTGGCACAACTTAGCGAGTTTAGAAGGTTTGAGATGTTATTTGTGCTCCCTAGGGTCTCTACTTCAAAAAAAAATTGGGTGGATAATTTTTTATGTTTGTTTAAACCCGTGACCACGCCCTTTTTAAAGCGTGGGAAAATTTTCCCAAAATTATTGAAATTTGCCTATAATATTTGATGGGGGTCTCTAAATGGCTTGATATGATGCCATCAGTATTACTAGAACATAATAAAATAAAATTTGGGTAAATAAAAGTGTAGTGGCACCCTGACCACGCCCATTTACACAATTTTTGGCGGAAAATTCGGAAAATTCGAAGTTGTTTACTCTAGCAGCAGGGAGGTGTTTAGTTTGTATTTAAACTGCTGAATCAAGTTAAATAGGTTATATAAGTAACTTAATTAAATTAATTGGGCATGTTGAGCCATTAGTTCAGCCTTGGGGAACCACGCCCATATTTCATATTAGGCGCGTATGTGAGAAATTTAATTTATCTCAGCTTCTGAAGGCCGTAGAAACTTAATTTTGGGCTTAAAATTACCGCAATATGTAAGTTTATATTGACACTATTAAGGTGCTGAAGCTCTCCAGGACTTACTTTTGGATAAAAATGAGAAAAACTGATATAATTTACTGAAGCGCATTAACAACAAAAAAAACTTCCCTAGCAGCTAGGTTAAGTCAAGTAGGCACATCAATGTATAAAGTTTTACTCGACACGGTCGAGTAAAATTCGTAAGGGCTAAAGGTCATTCTGGGCTAGAATAATTTGATTTTGGGTGCCCACGTTTATCAGTAGTCCAACCCTGGCCTAGGTAGTAAAATTTCTACATTGCCCTCAGGCGCAAATATAAGATTTTTCTATCCGTCTCAGCTCCTGAATATTGTAGGACTTTCAAGATAACCACAACAGCAGAATGGCCATATTGATATTTATATACAAGCTATGAAGTAGTATGGGGTCTATAGTGCATAGTTTTTGAGATATTTATTTTTAAAACATGATTTTTAAATATATCTTGCGCTTAAAAATACAACAAAGGTTCAAAACTACCGCATTTATGAACCAGCACCATCACTCATCAGCTCATCTTAGAAATCACAAACAACCCGCCGGGCAGCTATCTCTAGTTAAGCTCATTTCAGTACCCGTCGACTATAATATATGCCCACTTTTATGTCAGTACAACCTCATCTAGCAAAGTCCAGCTGAAGCAGGAGGCCGACTTCCAGGTCCCCCCATTATTAGGGGTCCCATGGAGATCAGATCATGTCACTAATCAGTGACGTATAATTAGTGATGTGATCCATCGGTAGAATTTAACTGACCTAGAAATGGGCGAGATACAGGGTAGAGTTCACATGTCAACTCTGTATGTATCATAGCTGTGCATTAAGAAGTAAACATGATCTTTAAGATTTGACCGCTCGACTCGTATATCACATAAGGGACGGGAGCTCTTGCTAAAGCTAAGGGGGGTTCTCGTATCTAGGGATGTCAGACGTACGTGCCAAAGAAATGCAACGGGAGTGAGCCGATCTGATGTCGAGCAAGTATTCTCTGAAATAACGTACTATATACAGACAAACTTGCCTAAGCTAATGTCTATAGTTAATTATTTCGAGAAGACTTACTTTGGGTCAGTCATTGTGGACAGTGAGGTGAGGCTGCTCCCTGCATATCCCTTAAGAGTTATTAAAGAGCAGCAAGTCATTACTGACTTGTTGTAATGACTCAAATCACATGTTCTGTAAATCATAGATGGTGGATCACATCACTAATTATGCGTCACATGACTAATTATACGTCATATGATCTGACCCATAATAATAGGGGGGCCTGGAAGTCGTGCAGCCGCTGAAGCTACTAACAGTTACCTCCAGCCCTATCCTAATATTAATTTTCCCTCCAATTCTAGCTCTTTCCAGTGACTTCAACTTCATTCTGATTTAGTGAAAAATCGTGTAAAATGGTGACAAATAGTGAATGATTTTGTTTCCATTGTAAAATTTCACCATTTTCACAATTGTTCACCATTGTGACCCCCAGTTCTCTTCCGGTATTGGGATGGCCTGAGATGCTTATATCCTTTTCAGTAACCCTAACCCACTTGCAATCTGTGCCAAGGCACTATACTCGTATACTAGTTGTAGGGGGTTAGTCCTACGGGCTACGAGCCAGGGAGTGTGAATCTTAGTGATTGGCCGACATTACCCGGTTCCGGTCCGGCAAAATGCGGCAAACCGTATCCTGTCTTTTCCGGTCCGGTGGCCAAAACCGTTGACCGGTCGGTTTCTAACCCTCTGCTCTATCCAGCGGCCACTGGAAGCCTACTATTCCAGTTCTTCTGCCAATAACTTCCTGCTCCATCCATTTGTGTTCTTCAAGTAACTTTATCATTTTCCAGCAACGAATGTTGCAATTTACTCTATCCATGTAATAGCATCAACATCCTACAATTAAAGCTCTTTAAAAATGTTCCAAAAATGATTACTTAATATGTGAAAGACCTCCAAAAGGTTGCTATAAAATTTAGATTTGTAGGATACTGGTGATAGCTAGCAGGCTAGAAGCTACAATTAGTTGAAGAGGGCAGCAACAGGGTAGAGTTGGAGCCTAGAGATAACTGAAGGTTGCTAAAACCGGAATTTACTTGTCACTTGATGAGATTGAGGTCAGTAGAAAGAGCTAATATTGGAGGGAAAGGATAATAGCAGAAGATAGCTAGAGCTGCAGTTAGCTAGTGCTGGAGTTTCCTAAATGAGATTGAGGTCGGTGGAAAGAGCTAGGAGGTTGTACTGACATAAAAGTGGGCATACAGGGTGAGTTGAAAATAGTGTGTAGATTGTAAAAATCGATAATGTTTTATGTATATTATAGTCAACGGGTATATTATAGTCAACGGGTACTGAAATGAGCTTAACTAGAGATAGCTGCCCGGCGGGTTGTTTGTGATTTCTAAGATGAGCTGATAGTGCTGGTACATAAATTCGGTAGCCCAAGATAAATGCGGTAGCCCAAGATATATTTAAAAAACATGTTTTAAAAATAAATATCTCAAAAACTATGCACCCCATACTGCTTCATGCACCCCATGTACTGCTTCATAGCTTGTATAATGTATATAAATATGGCTATTCTGCTGTTGTGGTTATCTTGAATGTCCTACAATATTCAGGAGCTGAGATGGATAGAAAAATCATATATTTGCGCCTGAGGGCAGTTTAGAAATTTTACCACAGCTAGGACAGGGTTGGACTACTAATAAAAGTGGGCACCCAAAATCAAATTATTCTAGCCCAAAATGACCTTTAGACCTTACGAAGGACACTGTGTCGAGTAAAAATATATACATTGATGTGCCTACTTGACTTAACCTAGCTGCTAGGGAAGTTTTTTTTGAAAAGGCCCATGGGTGAATATGGGTTAATGCGCTTCAGTAAATTATATCAGTTTTTCTCATTTTTATCCAAAAGTAAGTCCTGGAGAGCTTCAGCACCTTAATAGTGTCAATATAAACTTACATATTGCGGTAATTTTAAGCCCAAAGTTAAGTTTCTACGGCCTTCAGAAGCTGAGATAAAAATTTCTCACATACGCGCCTAATATGAAATATGGGCGTGGTTCCCCAAGGCTGAACTAATGGCTCAACATGCCCAATTAATTGAATTAAGTTACTTATATAACCTATTTAACTTGATTCAGCAGTTTAAATACAAACTAAACACCTCCCTGCTGCTAGAGTAAACAACTTCGAATTTTCCGCCAAAAATTGTGTAAATGGGCGTGGTCAGGGTGCCACTACACTTTTATTTACCCAAATTTTATTTTATTATGTTCTAGTAATACTGATGGCATCATATCAAGCCATTTAGAGACCCCCATCAAATATTATAGGCAAATTTCAATAATTTTGGGAAAATTTTCCCACGCTTTAAAAAGGGCGTGGTCACGGGTTTAAACAAACATAAAAAATTATCCACCCAAATTTTTTTTGAAGTTGAGACCCTAGGGAGCACAAATAACATCTCAAACCTTCTAAACTCGCTAAGTTGTGCCAGGTTTTGACCAGATACAGGATTATATAGTAGTGCTGCTGTTTTTGTTTATTTCACATCCTTCCACATACCTTCCTGTAGAGTAATGAGGTTACTCTTCCTGCTCCTATAGTTGAGATAGTTGGGCAGGGTGTTGTTAGCAAACTGTACCACCGAGTCCAATATGTTGATACTGAAATTAATGGTTAGTTAAATATGTTATAAATTTCACGATTTAAAGCTATATAATACGTTATTTATAAACACGAAGTGGATGTTGCTCTACCACTTCGACTTATGTTCCTTAAGCGCTTTTAAATACCGTTCACCGAACCTTGACTGAGGCTTTGTTAACAAGGTTTGGCCGGTAGAGGGTCCGCAGTAGTCCCATTACCTTAGTATTTCTGTACAACTACTACCAACACGAAGTTCATTTACAATTTACTTGGCAGTTTTTTGTTACCCTTTAGCGAGAATTTGATTCTTGCACAGCCATTGTTCATCGCTGAAGTGCTGTTTATGCAATTAAACTCGGTATTCCGACTACTAAATCTGAATCAGGAATCTTCAATTTGAATAGCAACACTATTTTTGTGATATGGAATTTTGAAGTCTTCCCAACAAGAGAAAGCTGATCCCGCATGAGACTTTATCTGAAATATTAGATGAACTGGCACGCAGCGAATTTGATACCGCCAAATTCATCGACAAGAAGGAAAATCTAAACCACATACCATGGGTGAATAGTGTCTAAATACAATATGCTTGCAGCAAAGGAGATGACCACGTGATAAACAATGAAATCACCAAGGCAACAGGCAACACGTACCTGCTAGCCATGTTCTTGAAGTCGGAAGTGAGCCAATTGTAGACTAACTGATAAGTTCCAGGGTTGACGAGGTTACCGGCTGGTTTACCGTCCCGTCCCAGTACCACGTGGAGTAGGGGCCGCTGTAACAATCCGTCACAATACCTTGTCAATAGTTGGGCTTTAGCTAAACTTTGTAGAAACTTGCAGGTTTAGCTGAGGAATGAGTGGTCCAAGCTTTGGTGCCTAATTAGGTGCCCAAGCTTTGGAATTGACAATAAATCGCTTTTTTAGCATCGCAGTTAATTTGCCGTTTGTGCTCCAGAAAACAATAATTGTATAATTACAAACGCTCGTCTCCCACTAACCGTATGCTCTTGTAAAACTTAACATCAAGATTCTTGGCACTCCCCCTCAGTTGCACAATCTGGGACCGCTCCGACGCGTCGAACGCTCCTGCAATTATAATTAATTACTGTAATTACTGTTTCCGTAAAACTTTATGTTATGTCTTATTTATTTAATTAGCAGTGTCATGTTTTACTTGGCCCCAAACTTATTATCTCTAGAATCACCTCCTGCAGAAGGCCCCGTCTAGACCATCTTAAACATATATTATTCAATCAATTATTAAAACCTAATTAAAACCATACCTAAAATTTAAGATAAAAGGTCCACGGATCTAAAATTGGCTTTTTGATCCTCGTATTATTTATTTCGTAAGGCTCACTTCTTTGTGAATAATTGCATTCACGCTCACATTCTAGAAAAAGCCACCGAATTTGATACGTGACCACCAGTAGTCACCAGACACCATATCTCCGCAAGCAATCCTCTTATCTCAACTTCCATTTAATAAGCAGGTACAACTCGATAACATTTCTGTATGACTAGTCTCGTTTTTCTGTGAACGTCACATTTTAAAACCATTTCAATTATCTCGTTTCAATTATCCCGTGTTATTTAAGCAGTTCCCTTTCTTTTCATTTTGACCTCCTTTCTTTATCTTTAAATTTAACTTCCTACAACATATTTATCCTGGTACACTTATAATAATTATCTTTAAATGTAAGTTCCTACAACATAATATATTATGATACACGTATAAATCTAAATACGCTGATTTCATACTTTGTAATATATGTTCTATGCCAATTATCTTTCTACAATATTTTCCGATTGATGTCTCAGTCTTGAGAATGAGTCTTCCAGGACCTCTGGAAGACAACTGAACCCAATTGAACCTAGTTCCCACTAACCAATCAGCTTAATTAGGGTTAGGGTTAGTCTAAATTGTCTTAATTGGGTTCAGTTGTCCGGTAAACACTAGTATAATGACTAATGAGGTATATTGAGATACTCCGTACCTTTAATGTCAGAGTCTATCATGCTCTGCAAGTCATCTAACTCTTCTGCATCTTTGAAGTTGTGCACTACGATCACAGTGCTGTGCTTTAGCTTTTTAAGTAGCGCTAGAATGTAAACCTGCAAACATATCAAGTGGTAGGTTAATTGTTTACATTCTATTTTACTTGAGTGAACCATCATTACACTCAAAAATTCGGACCAACAGAATGTAATTATTATCCGTTTTTGGCAAGTGTCCATTTCTGTCGGTTATATTTCTAGCATAATTAATTAAGATGGTTACGTTGATGTCATGGTATACCGTTTAATCCAATAAATCATTGTTGTCCTGATAAAATCATCTCCAGAAAAACGTTTACCTGATCCATATATTGGAGCTGATTGACGACCACCAATATAGTGTTAGCCATGTGTACAATACAGTCCTCAATAAAGGCCTCAGTTGCTCTTCTGTGTCGGAGCTTACTCTCCATTGACTCACCTAAACAGCGAATTTGTTAGAATTAGAAATGGTTTTAAACTTAAACTAGTGAAGTTATAAATTCATGAATATGAATGATTACTCTTTTCATCTGATCGGATCATCGAATGCTTTCTAATACGAATTCAGGAAGAGGGTCGCTAGAATACGATCAAGGCAATTTAATTCTAAAATAACATTTATTTTTAAATCTACAATTTTATTTATTTATTTATTTATTTAATATTGACCTGGTCCGATACTGACAGGAGTTTGCTTGCCGGCACTGTCCACCACGTACAGATTCAACTTGCCACCTGTTTCTGGTAACTTGATACTGATCCCTCTGGTATGTTACCTGGTTACCTGGTTACCTGGTTACCTGGTTACCTGGTTACCTGGTTACCTGGTTACCTGGTTACCTGGTTACCTGGTTACCTGGTTACCTGGTTACCTGGTTATATTGACCTGGTCCGATACTGACAGGAGTTTGCTTGCCGGCACTGTCCACCACGTACAGATTCAACTTGCCACCTGTTTCTGGTAACTTTATACTGATCCCTCTGGTATGTTACCTGGTTACCTGGTTACCTGGTTACCTGGTTACCTGGTCACAGTGGGCCACCATGATAGTTTAGGCCAAAAATCGACTTTCCTTAAATCCCATTTTGTTTATCTCATCTCCTAGTAAATAGATATACACATAAAGTGCAAAAAACCGAATTGGAAAATATTTAAATGCTGAATTTTGGCAGCGCGCCAAATATAGAAATTTTTTTGACTGCCAAAAAAATCAATTTAAGCAGTGAAAATGGCCACTAAATCCCTGTGGCTCAGAAAAAAGGCCTAATAAGGTTTAATGATTATTTTGTTGCCTCCTAGAACAGTTTTGAATGATCTTTCTGGTGAAATAGGCCTTATCATGCCAATTGATTAGGAAAAATTTACGCGCGGAGGCAAATTTTGACCCTCTTTTTCACCTTTTTTCAAGTCTTCAAGACCAGGAATAGTTGTTAGGGCCTTCTAGTGCCCACTAAAAACCACTTTTATGTTTAAGTACTGACAATTTCCTAACAAATGCAACCAAGAATGGTTCTGGCTGGATCTGGCTTTCCATTTTATGAATTTTTAAAAATCCCCATTTGCTCTCATTTTGGTGTATTTTCCTGGCGCTAAATAAGCAATATTCTAGTAAAAGGGAGGGGTTGAGTGTGCACTTCGATGTATAGAGTTTTTTGATACTGAATCGGGTTAAATAGGTCATTTCTAACTCAAATCACCAAACGGCACATGTTGTGTCGCTATTCCCAACCCTGTGGGGGCCACGCCCATTTTTTTCATTATGCGCATATATGGGAAATCTGTATCTCAGCTTCTGAAGGTCTTAGAGACTCAAACTTTGGCTTAAAATGACCGCAATGCACATGTTTATATTGACACTATAAAGGTCATGAAGGCCCAAAATGCTTACTTCTGGAAAAAATCCAGAAAAACTGATTTTCACTGGGGCGAGAGTGAAAAAAATCTACTCTAGAAGCTAATTAAAATTAAGTTTGCAGTTTGGTGTCTACAACTTATGGAGCGACACAATTCAGTTTCAGAAGCTCCTTCCAGCTATCTTATCTTATCCCCAAATGTATACATATAACCATCTCTTTGGTTACTTCAAACCATGTAAATAGTGGATTAAACTCCTGAAAGCGCGCGCGTTATGTGCGCGTGTTCGCGGGTTGGGGAGCATTGAATTGGCCTCCTTTTACATAAAGTTGATCAAAAAACACCCTTCTCTGATCGTATTACCACTGGAAAAGATCATTCTGCACAGAATTCCGCATTAAACATCAATTATAGGGATATAAAGGGTCTGCGTATGAAAAAGTTGAAAATTCGGAAAATTCAAAATATCGAAATAACTTTGTTTGTGATGACACTAGAGCTCTGAAAATGTCTTTAAACGACTTTTTGGGCCATACAATCCTTAAGAACAGTATATATGGCCAATCAGACCATTCCTTCATGCCTAAACTATCATGACCCCCCTTCGCGGCCCACTGTGCTGGTTACCTGGTTACCTGGTTATATTGACCTGGTCCGATACTGACAGGAGTTTGCTTGCCGGCACTGTCCACCACGTACAGATTCAACTTGCCACCTGTTTCTGGTAACTTTATACTGATCCCTCTGGTATGTTACCTGGTTACCTGGTTACCTGGTTACCTGGTTATATTGACCTGGTCCGATACTGACAGGAGTTTGCTTGCCGGCACTGTCCACCACGTACAGATTCAACTTGCCACCTGTTTCTGGTAACTTTATACTGATCCCTCTGGTATGTTACCTGGTTACCTGGTTACCTGGTTACCTGGTTACCTGGTTACCTGGTTATATTGACCTGGTCCGATACTGACAGGAGTTTGCTTGCCGGCACTGTCCACCACGTACAGATTCAACTTGCCACCTGTTTCTGGTAACTTTATACTGATCCCTCTGGTATGTTACCTGGTTACCTGGTTACCTGGTTACCTGGTTACCTGGTTACCTGGTTATATTGACCTGGTCCGATACTGACAGGAGTTTGCTTGCCGGCACTGTCCACCACGTACAGATTCAACTTGCCACCTGTTTCTGGTAACTTTATACTGATCCCTCTGGTATGTTACCTGGTTACCTGGTTACCTGGTTACCTGGTTACCTGGTTACCTGGTTATATTGACCTGGTCCGATACTGACAGGAGTTTGCTTGCCGGCACTGTCCACCACGTACAGATTCAACTTGCCACCTGTTTCTGGTAACTTTATACTGATCCCTCTGGTATGTTACCTGGTTACCTGGTTACCTGGTTACCTGGTTACCTGGTTATATTGACCTGGTCCGATACTGACAGGAGTTTGCTTGCCGGCACTGTCCACCACGTACAGATTCAACTTGCCACCTGTTTCTGGTAACTTGATACTGATCCCTCTGGTATGTTACCTGGTTACCTGGTTACCTGGTTACCTGGTTACCTGGTTACCTGGTTACCTGGTTACCTGGTTACCTGGTTACCTGGTTACCTGGTTATATTGACCTGGTCCGATACTGACAGGAGTCTGCTTGCCCGCACTGTCCACCACGTACAGATTCAACTTCCCACCTGTTTCTGGTAACTTTATACTGATCCCTCTGGTATGTTACCTGGTTACCTGGTTACCTGGTTACCTGGTTACCTGGTTATATTGACCTGGTCCGATACTGACAGGAGTTTGCTTGCCGGCACTGTCCACCACGTACAGATTCAACTTGCCACCTGTTTCTGGTAACTTTATACTGATCCCTCTGGTATGTTACCTGGTTACCTGGTTACCTGGTTACCTGGTTACCTGGTTACCTGGTTACCTGGTTACCTGGTTACCTGGTTACCTGGTTACCTGGTTACCTGGTTACCTGGTTATATTGACCTGGTCCGATACTGACAGGAGTCTGCTTGCCGGCACTGTCCACCACGTACAGATTCAACTTCCCTCCTGTTTCTGGTAACTTGATACTGATACCTCTGGTATGTTGGAACACGTCCGTTTTAAAGTTCGCTCCACAGAGTCGGGCTAAGAAGTGGGTCTTACCTCTCTTGAAGAGCCCCAACACAGCAACCTGGTTATTATTACTTCAGTTTAGTTCAAGTTTATTTGTTAGAGCTTTCACTGACGTTGAGGTGGAAAAAACAAGCCAATATCGAGTTTTGTAGCCACAATCGCCCCGGAATAAAGCAGTTTAGTTCAAGTTTATTAGTAGTTACTACTAATATATCCTAGCACAGGGATACACAGAAATGTTTAAAACTTTTGAAACTTCTGCAGCTGCATGACTTGTTAAATTTGGTAAAACGTGAAGAATCAACAAGCATGAACAACCAAGACATTCGTTTCCGAAGAAAAATATCTTTCCGGAGAAAAGATCTCGAAATAAGCCTAACCAATATAAAGTATAAACCAACAACAAGTGGCACTCACCACATGGCCCTCTGAACATTTCATTTCTGCAATGTCCTGCTCCATTTTGTGCACATCGTCCAGAAGAGTCTTATCCACGTACACGTTCCAACCTGATCATTTCTTGTAGTGACATCGAATAATTTTGATATTTTTAAACATTTCTGTTTCCTTCACATATGGTTTAGCGATCGATGTGCTTTTTTGACTATATCAATATGGTAGCTATTGTTCGCGCGCCGAACATATTACTGATATTATTAATTAATAAAATTACAGCTTGTTGCTGTTAAAGCGATTATTGGCATATAATAGTAAAACGTTTGGGTAATTTAAGGTTGGGCTGAACTTGTGATTAATATTTTGTTTGTGTCGACTAACGAAGAAAGTTGACAGTGTTCAATCGTAAAACTAGATCTTAAAATCTTAATAAAGTTTTGTAATAGGGAATTTATAATATAAATTCCCTATTATGGAATATTTTAATAATAATTTTATTATAATAAACAATGCATTCATGTTGCTGGTCACCAACAACCTAATGATTATAAATAATTATTAGACTTTTTTTCCGCAAGAGAATCGTCATTCGTCTGTGACGTTTATTCAGGTTAGCTGCTCTTGGTCCCATCGAAAAATACTGTTCCTAACCAAATTTAACGCTGGTCGAACAGAATTTAGAGAGATATGCCTTTGACATTTTAATTCAATTTTGAAAATTTAAGACTTAAAAAATCGTCAAGAAAACATCAAATAGATTCAAATTAATTATGTTTGAAAGATATCGGTTAGGTGGTCTAGTGGTTAGAGCTTCCACCATCTGCACAGAAGGTTCAGGGTTCGAAGAGTATAATCTAGTCTAAGGAGTAGCTAAGGATCCATTAGATCTATGCGAAATTGCACATGATCTAAGTAATGTCTCCCCGGTCAACTCAGGTGAATGATCAGAAACGTGATTGAGGGTTAAAAGAGGAGGGGACCTGCCAAAAGATCAGGAATTTTTTAGGGTACCCTCCTGTACATCTATATTGAAGAGTACTGTAAACATAGTACTATATACTATACTATCACTATGAACTTTGAATATTGAACCATTTAAGGGGCAGGGTTTTCATGAAAATTACCTGACAACTAAATTTTTAGTTGTTTCTAATAGAGGGGTGTGATATCTATCAGCTGTTTTTGGTCCCATCAAAAAATATTGTTCCTAGCTGAATTTAACGCTGGTTAAACTTAAAGGTCAGCGCTATTAGAAACTACTAAAAATTATTTTCATGAAGACCCTCCCCCATCCTACCCCCTTTATCTCACTAGAAAAATGAAGTTGCTAGTCAGCACCCTGCTGCTAGTCAGCATGGTAACCGCTGGTCCCGCTGGTTCTGAACCATACAAGATCACCTCTAACTATGTGGACTACTATCCTGGAGATCCCAACAGTAATGTCGTGCTCACCTCCCCCCACGACGGTCACATCAAGCCTGATCAGGTCCCTGACAGGATCCGGGGGTGTTACAACAGTGCTGATGGTACGTGTGACTGGAGACACGACTGTGGACTCAGTGGAGGGGAGCGGGTCTCCAGAAAGTGTGGGGCTATCACCGGGGCTGACTTAGACTCCTCCATCCTAGCTCTGAAGATGAGGGAGACCATAGGACGCCAGCTGGGGGTCATGCCTCACTTGATCGTTAGTAGGTTGCACAGATCCAAACTTGATCCCAACAGAGAAAAAGATAACGCTGCCAATTATAACCCCATTGCGGAGCTCGCCTACGATACTTTCCACAATAAAATCCAGGAGGTCCACGACCAGTTTGACCGCCCTGGCATCCACTTTGACATCCATGGCTACACTTCTCACAATACAGATAATTGGCTCGAACTGGGCTACAACATTCACGGGTCCCTTCTAAACCAAGGTCTGCTGGATCCAGAAGGATCATCCATTAAAGCTCTGGCTGCTCGCAGTGACAAACCTTTCCCCAGCATCGTCGCTGGAGATGACAGTCTAGGGAAACTAGTGATGGAAGAAGGGTATAGAGTGGTACCATCTCCCCAGTACCCCCGACCTGACACAGGTATCGAGGGTAGGTACATGAGAGGGGGCTACATCACAAGGCAGTGGGGATCTCTCTACGGTGGGGACATAGACTGTATCCAGTTGGAAGTACCCATGTGGATCCGGGAAGAAAGCGAGGAACATGGTGAGAGGTTGGGACAAGCTTTCGCAAAGTGGATCAAGGACCACTACGACGTTTAATTAAAAGTTGGAACTGAAGGATTGTAGGGATGAGAAGATAGCATAGCAAGTTGGCAGTTTTCAATCTTAAAACTAGATTTTAAAATCTTAATAAAGTTTTGAACTAGGGAAATTATATGGAATATTCTAATAATCAGTTAATCATATTATATAAACAATGCATGCATGTTGTTGATCACTAACAACATAAAGATTACATATAATAATCATAAGGCTTTTTCGTTCGCGAGAGAATCGTTTGTGACGTTAATTTAAGTTTGCTGGTTATTAAGGTTGCTTGAAATTTAAAATAAGAGCTTGTCTTAACTTTGAATATTGAACCATTTAAGGGGGCAGGGGGTCTTCATGAAGGTTCCTCACAACTAAATTTTTAGTTGTTTCTAACTGTGATATCTATCAGCTACTTTTGATCTCATCGAAAAATATTGTTCCTAGCTGAATTTATCACTGCAACTTTCCATTACGTGTACTGAAATCACCTAGGAACAAAGTGTTTCGATGGGACCAAAAGCAGCTGATACTTATCAACTCTCCTCTATTAAACTACTAAAAAGTCTATTTCGAGGAAATGTTTATGGAGACCCTCCCCCATCCTACCCCCTTTATCTCACTAGAAAAATGAAGTTGCTAGTCAGCACCCTGCTGCTAGTCAGCATGGTGACCGCTGGTCCCGCTGGTTCTGAACCATACAAGATCACCTCCAACTTTGTGGACTACTATCCTGGAGATCCCAACAGTAATGTCGTGCTCACCTCCCCCCACGACGGTCACATCAAGCCTGATCAGGTCCCTGACAGGATCCAGGGTTGTTACAACAGTGCTGATGGTACGTGTGACTGGAGACACGACTGTGGACTCAGTGGAGGGGAGCAGGTCTACAGGAAGTGTAGGGTTATCACCTGGGCTGACAGAGACTCCTCCATCCTGGCTCTGAAGATGAGGGAGACCATGGGACGTGAGCTGGGGGTCATGCCTCATCTGATCGTGAGTAGGTTACACAGATCCAAACTGGATCCCAACAGAGACAGAGATAACGCTGCCCAACATAACCACATCGCGGAGCTCACCTACGATACTTTCCACAATAAAATCCAGGAGGTCCACAACCAGTTTGACCGCCCTGGCATCCACTTTGACATCCATGGCTACACCTCTCACAACACTGATAATTGGCTCGAACTTGGCTACAACATTCACGGGTCCCTTCTTAACCAAGGTCTGCTGGATCCAGAAGGATCATCCATTAAAGCTCTGGCTGCTCGCAGTGACAAAACTTTCCCCAGCATCGTCGCTGGAGATGACAGTCTAGGGAAACTAGTGATGGAAGAAGGGTACAGAGTGGTGCCATCTCCCCAGTACCCCCGACCTGACACAGGTATCGAGGGTAGGTACATGAGAGGGGGCTACATCACAAGGCAGTGGGGATCTCTCTACGGTGGGGACATAGACTGTATCCAGTTGGAGGTACCCCAGTGGGTCCGGGACGATAGCGAGGAACATGGTGAGAGGTTGGGACGAGCTTATGCACAGTGGATCAAGGACCACTACTAAATGGAACTGGAAGTTGGATTTATACATCTAAATAAAGTTGGAAAGGGACATTTTCTTTTGGACACTGAGACTAAAATCAGGGATTGATCCGACGATTTCCTTTTTTATGACTATTTATTATATTTCGATTTGATATCATAGCTTTTAGTGGTATATTATAATTTGTATTTAGATGCAAAATGCGCTATTAATTATTATAATTATGGGGAATTTTTAATAATAATCTTATTCATATCTTATTTCCAATAAAATTGATTCACACGCAATAGTTTTTTCACTGCACATGATCATATAACTACAATCTGGTTTTAAGAATAAATATCATGATGAAAATCATTTCGATCAAGTTTCATTACGCTCTGAATCTAATATTTATAAATCTTTATAAAAATGTATAAATCTTTATAAAGATATATGTACACTGCATATTTCACGGAAGTTAACATACACACCACAGAGCCCCTAGCATTTGATCCAGAACAAAGACACTAGACATGACGATATTCGGTGATCTAGCGTTCAACATCAGCATTCCCATGCCTCCGTGGGGACTGGTCTACAACCATACCGGCACCACAACCGATCTTATTGTTAACTACACATATGCTGTCTTTATCCTCCTCTCAACTGCAGTCGGTTGGTTTTACAGTTTTCAGGTTTATATTTGATGGTTTTGAAACAGAATTTATTGCTCGTTATATTATGTATGGTTCCTGGGAAGCGGATGTTGGAAACAAATTCCTGACAGATTCAAGAAGACAGTTAACAAATTTCTAAACTTTCAGCGTTGATACTCAACCCAATTGTGTTCTACTACAACCACAAGCAGAAACTCTCCATTGCATCGCTTCTCTTCCAGATTTTGGCCATCTTTGACTTCGCCCACTCGGCCTACAGATCAACCTACCAGACTTACATCCTGTTCAAGCCCGGCATTGAGACTTTTGCTGTAATGAGTATGCATGAGTGGTTGTTCGTTCTTTTTGTGTGGTACTTTTCATCTGTTTGATTTGTGTGATTCACTGGTAAATTCAGATTTATCTGAGTTCATTTATACATTGTTATCTAACATAAATTCCTTTGCCAAACCTTAACTGATTTTAATATCACCAAAGAAAAAACATCAGATAATTAATTCTTCGCTCCCCTAGGTCCGTCTGTGATAAGCAAGGTGGCGACAGTGGTAACATACACTATTGGTCAGAGCAACATCTCCCTTACAGGACTCATGGCTTTAGTGAGACTCATTCAAATCAGGTATGTTAAATCTTATTTTCATTCTTGGTGACTATTTCCAGGCTGATTTTCGTGATTCAAAAATGTTGGTATTTTCCGCCATTTTACAACAGTGTGCCCTTATTTTTTATCACCTTCGAGAATAATCAATCCTTATTCCAAGTTAATACGACAAGTTTAACTCAAGAAATAGCAATAATAATTGCACTTCATCTCTAATAAGTAATAACTATCGGGTCAATCTGTTCGAGTGTATCTTTCATAACAATTCATTTCAGGTTTCCATTCTGGGCCTTCAGTCACGGTACCCACATATTTCGACTTTCAGTCGCAATGATAGTTCTAGATATAATTTACAACGCTACTGCTATAACAGTTTACATACTCTGTTATAAGAACTCAATATTTCTGTCTGTAACTCAAACAGTGTGGGCTCTTCCTGAAGATATGATAACGTTTCAAGACGCCAATGCTTTGAACTGGGTATGTTATGAACGATTTGTTTATTACAGTCTCATGGGAAGTAGTCACAAAAAATCACCATGATCATTCAAATTCAACTATTTTCTAGTATCTAGGCGTCTTATGGTTAGCAGACACACAATACTCTGAAACTTTATTCCTACGACCAACATTAAAATTCTTTCAGTCATCACTTCTCAAATCCTCAGGTTATATGGATGTTCTTCTCAGGACCATACTACTTGAAAACGGGGCTAACCCTGCTCACCTCCATCCTGACAATGTTAGCCCTCAGAACTTCAGATGAACAGGAGGGACTCAGCAAATCTCAACACAAAAGCATTGTTACAATCCTGATCCTCAACTTGGCTCCCCTGCTCTGGATCATTCTAATGGTAGCAAGTCAGGTGATATTGGATAACACCAAAGATCCCACCAACTTCACCTACTCGCACGTGTATCTCATATATCTGTCCTTTGTGGGGATGCCAGTGTTTCTGACTGCTTACAATCCACTGGTGTTGTGCTGCAGAAGCTCGGGTATTAGGAAGATGATGACGAGCTGGAGGGATAGTTCTAGAATTGTAAATGAGTGGTACTCGGGTAGTAGATCCCATTTGTTGAAGAATCAGGGCATGTCAACGACAGAGTCTACTATCAGCCCGGTTTCACACGAATTCTAAAATATAATGCGGTTTGAAGCAGTTTTTAAAGCTATTTACCTGGCTAGTCATTGACTACTGATTACCATAGGGCATAGCCCATGACCCTTTTAAAGTTTTTCTTTTCTTTTTGTGGAAGGACATTTTAGATAGTTGTTGGTTGAAGTTTGCTCCTGAGATCATTAAAAATAACTTCTCGCTATCTGTTATAAGTACTTTAATTCAATCCCAGTGATCTCAGTGACTAATTTTAACTGATATAATCGATGTATTTATAAATGTGTATTGTGTATAATGTCATTAAACAGCTTATGATTATGTGATATTTGATAAAGAATTAATTTCTCAATTTGTACCCTTTTTTGTTCGTACCTTTTATGTAGATTATCTACAGTAGATTAAATTATTGTCAAACTTGATATTTAATTTTGTACGTCTGAAGAGTATTACGAATCTGAAACAACCGGCTCGTCATTTTTACCAGCTTTTAGTTTATTGACTTTATAAATCATGGTGTTCTGGGATCAAAAGAATAAATTCATTCAAGCCAATACCAAATTACCCAATCATTACACAAACTGAAGCTCGGAAAGAATTTCAAAAGGATACATAAAGTAAACAAGGTGCATCATGCAAACCATTGTAAACTACGAAAAACGGGGAAATAAGAGCTTCTTATTGTAAAATAAGTCTACAATTAAAATATCTAAATTCTAATGGATGTACAATGTACATATCATCGTGTATAGTGCTCCAGAACACAGCCTTGCCAACAGGCAACAAGTACTTGTCGTAATATCTTACAAATTAACCAATTTGGGCGAATTTACAGTAAATTCCGGTAAAGCATCCGTAACTTATTTCATCAGACTTCCAGACCTTTCCTACTTCTAGACTGACGTAAAATCTATCTTGCCGATAAATACATTGGCATGTGTAGTATAACACTCATACTCATCAGGGGTTACCCGCAAGTGTAACACACTTATACGTTCCAGAAATTAGGTCATATCAATTAATGATGGCACGGAACTGTTACTACCATGTTGGACCGCATCCGCGTTGTAGAAAATCCGAGAAGCATGCAGCGCTGTTTAATTTCACGATAATTCGACAATTTGCGCGCGCAATTCTAATCACGTGCGCGTTATAAAAGCCTTAATAATGCTTCGCGTGTCACAGATATGTAGCTAACCTTGCCATTTTTGGCGCGTAACACGGACAATCCCTAAATTATTACAAGTAACTGGCTGACCTATTCTGTTGCGTGTTTGAAAATGGTGAACAGTTAAAGCAGATATCGAAATGAAGAGAACCACGCACCTGCTGTACCAATATCCATGATACTCGTGATATCAATGACAAACTGATATCCCCTCGTGAAGTCAGGACTGTTATCGTTGTAAGAGGGTATCTGTTTCGGAAACCCTGCATTCCTCAGTACGTCTTCTTCAGTACTCTGACAAGTGTGTTATGTTACTAGAACATTTCTTCGAGTTAGAAAGAATTCATGCAATGCACTTGTATAATTATAACCAAGTTTAAACTTGTACCACATGATATGGTGGAATTTCTAGAATTTGTAGCGTAACAATCTGTACTGACTAACTGACTTACATACATTACAACAAATCAGATAAGTTTATATATGATAATATAAGATACTAACGTCAGAAAGAGCAGAGGTAGCCTTAGTGATAGCGACACCAGCTAGCAGCCCACCAGCCACCATGGCCATGGTCTTAACAAACTGCTCATCCATCAACCTGATCGTTTTTACTTTGCTCTGAAAACCTATACTGACCACATACTATACTAAAACAAGTTGTTAAATTAAATGACATAAATGTGATAATAATCATCTAATGTAGTAAATAGTAAAATGTGTTTCACGGATAAAAATGATGCTAATATTACTGGATTTAGAGTTCTGAGAGGTACAGAATCCAGATTGGGTAAAGACTAACGCAATATAAGGTAACAGTTACAGAGATTTAATGACAAAGTGAAAGTGAAATTAATCGTTTCAAAGTGAAAGTGAAACTAATTGCTTTATGATCAATAATAGTCAGGTACAAAGTAACAACAATGGTCATTAGTCAAGTTCTAAGTGCTAATAGAGCAAACGTGGTTAATTAAACCCAACACAGTAAGTAACAGGGCTATGTTTCACGACCACTAGTTATTTAATAACTCTACCCACTATTGTTAACTCTACAGAATATTTTATTTTGTACATTAATAACAATTTCTATCGCCTTTAAATTCTATATACTGTACCTCTCAGAATTACAGTGTATAGAATGTATCCCTTACAACTGCTTGGTCATACTTTTAAATTAAAGTAAATATTTGTTTCCGGTGGTATCTTTAGATAATAGATGTGGATTCTGGTATTGAGGTGGAACATGTTGACACGTGACAGATATTCTGGGAGTTGATTGGTTAATTTCTGGAAGCTGATTGGTAGATTACTGTAAAGTGCCAGGTAAATGTGTTTCAACTCCCACCAGTATCCAGATCTATATAACAGATTACAAATAATTTAACAATACAATTAATTAACAATTAAATAAAATCCGTCCATTAATATATTAATATATTTAATAAAAATATTTGCATTAATTTACAAAACATTCATGATAAAAAACATCAACAATTAATATCACAATAAGTATAACAATTTAAAATTCTGCAAACACAATTTACATACACACCAATGTAAGCTGCTTGTTTAGTTAGGTTTCAAACTTGGTAAGTTTAAAAAGTAACATATTTGCATACTGCACATTGCACAGTAGTCACATAGTCGTTGAGAGTTTGATGTAGTCAACATTTTAATGTCCTACATGATAATTTACAAATTTCATCAGTAATTCAACTATACATTTTAATATAATAATTCGATTTAAAACAATTTATGTATTTATACATTATAACTAAACTTAATTAATTCAGTTATTAAAATATAGAATTGTCTGTCGGAAAAGGTTGAACTTACGTGTCAAACATAGATATTATAATACATTTAATGCTTAGTTAGGAGACAACAAATCTTAGCAGTGACACTGTTCTGTATTTTATAAACAACATCCTCAATATCTGTTGTACACAGAAATAGCGTTTCTTCAGAATGGTGGACATTTGACAGTTTCAAATACCAATGACAATATTGAAGGTGCCGGTGCTCGTCATTAAGAGACGAGAACTTCCCTTTTATCAGTCTGATTTTGTTATCATACAAGGGTGCTAACTGAACCGTTACACTGTGGTATGCATTACATCCTTTAATGTCACATTTTTCACATAGTTTGATTTCTTTCATATCACAGAAGTACTGCAGATTTTCTTTGCAAATAAACCAACTCTGTTGGTCGTACTTGTAGTTTTTAACTGATGACAATTTGTTAAAGATATGTCTCTGTCGGAGATATCCCATCTTGAACAATTCACTGGCCATGTCAAAGTAAAACCCATGTGATAATCTGAACGACATCATCTCGTCAATCATAAGGCTTATCACAGCGCTGCAAGGTTTTAAATCTAAAATCCAGAGAAGGACAACTTCACAAAATACAAAGGGACTTGTTTTGTTTTTGATGCACATTATCTGTTCTACAGTGAGATTTTTCTTCCAATCTGTTCCAAGAAGATCTTCCAGAATTTCAAGATCACATATTTTCAGGTAATAGGTTAATGTGGACATTACTGAAATAAGAAGGTTAGCAATTGGTAAATATTTAACATACCAGCTGAACAGGTGCGGTGGCCGTGGTAAGAGCCACGTTAATTTTAACTTGTAGATTGTAATATTCGGAACATAATTAAGGTGCTCATTTGCTTTATCCCATCCTTGATTGGGATTACTTAAAATTGATCACACATCCATGAGAATATAACAGAAGTTATGGTAATAGTTTGTAGATTCAGCGATTATAATATATGGTCACAGATAAACAATAAAATATTCAAATAATGTATAGTGAAAAATGTTCACACCATATAAAATAAGAATATACGGTATACCAAGTACCAATGTATCTCATTCAAGCTATTATTTAATGGTAAGATTCAACCTTTAGTTGAATAAATGATGCATATGTAATAACACATGCTCTAATGTTCTCAACATTACGTCGCTAAGATAACATTTGATGTTATCATACAATATATGTCCAATGTTCTTTCTACCTATCAAATTGAATGAATATTTTATTTCATCTACAGTCAAAACATCAAGTTAAAGCAGTTGCGTAACTAATAAAATCTGATAAAGCTTACGTCAATCAATCTCGAAATTCAGCTCATATTACATTTTTAAAGATTTGTAACACATCAGCAATATACAGTGCTAGTTTGCCATAAGGACTGCTCCTTTCTTTTTTGCAATTAGATCCTCGCCAGTGTTTTTAGCCCCAGCATAACCTGTTGACCCGCGTTTCAATATAATCACATCTTTTTCCTTTAATTTTTGACCTGAGAGTGGCTCGACCATGTCTGGTTTTACAAGTTTTTCATAGCAGTCTATTGTGATAACATTACCAGTAGGTCTGAGAACAACACTAGTGATGGCATTACCAAGTGTATCATGAGTAATGGGACACATATAGCGAGTTTTTGTACAGATTGCACTGGAACCTGCTAGTGGTTCATCTTGAGGCATCTCAGTAAACTTTACTGTGACTAAATCTTTGAGTCTAAGAGGTTTTTGTGTGATGGGACAGTAAGTTTTTGGGTCTGGTTTTCTCACCTCCTCCTTTGTTGCATGGCCTTGAAGATTGTTCACCCAGAAATTGTTCAATTTCTTGCTTTTATCCACAGCGGTAGCTGGTTCATTAACTTTTATTGCAGACGATGAGCTTTGTGCATTCAAAAATCTTTCTGATTCCAAGTCTTTACCAGATTTTGCAGACTTTTCTTTGCATTGCTTGGAAAATGCTTTCTCTTGTTTAGCTATTTTCCGCTTCTGTTTCAGTAGATTAGTGAGGATTGCTTCTCTCTCATATAGATATCCATCAGGTGTAACAACAGGATCTTTACAAGGTTGAAGCGTAAGACAACAACAATCAAAATTACGAGCACTATCACGGCTTATAGTCACAGATTGTGTTCCATATTCTCCCTCAGCAGTATCTTTTTTACGCTCATGATATGAATAAACAGCACTGGCTGTTGCATTTTTTCCATGTCTTGTCATCTGAAATAGTTTAAAAGGTTATTATATTTTGTTTATTGACAAATGGTAAAAAAGCTGGGAATTTTCCAAAGAGTATCTAGGAAAACTAATTTTTATACTTTAAGAGGCGTCAGAGCCTAGCCCCAGGATTTTATGCTGCAATCTTTGGCCCCAGTGACCACTTGCCCATGAAAATTGTGCCCCAGAAACTTAAACCAATGACCTTGCAGTTGCATCCCAGAGTATCCGCATTTCAGGACCTCCACCTAGTGAGGGCTTATGTTTAGGAAAAGGTTTGGATTAGTATTATAATAAAGTAAAGGGCTTGATATTGTAAGTACCGATGTCACGGGGGCCTGAAGTTAAATAAAACAGAAGGCAGAATTTGTTGACCAAACCCTTCAAGATTTTAGGGAAATCGCCCACCAAATGTCATTTGACCCCCTAGAAATACCATTAACATACATGAAATGAAATAAAATGAGGTATTTACATCTTAATAAGTTAATAAATTAAATGTGGTCTATAAAACTACCACTAGGTATAATAGGTCAATAAATTAAAAGTGGTTTATAAAACTACCACTGTGCGAACCCCTTCTCCAGTTAAAACATGTCAGTCAAATGTGTGAAAAATATCAATCAGAATGGTAAGGTGGTAAAAAAGGGAATATCCTTTAAATTCGATACATCAATTATATATGCCTCAGATTTAAAAGAATTAGAGGATACTTAGTTATCGTCGACTATGATTGCAGTGTAAAATTTGTCATATGAATTGTCGACGGTATAATTAGGGTCTGTTGTTATAGATGAGAGTAGCTGTTTCTTATACGAATCACTAAAGCTTTTAAGGGGAGATACACCAAAAACGTTTTTGCTCCGAACATCGATTTTATTTTAAATTATGGTTCAATAGACAAAAAGAATAAGATTGCACACCTTCAAAATTTTCTAAAAATATTCCCTCATCGAGAAAAAAAATATTTTTCTTTTTCGAAAATTTTTAAAATTTGGAGAAGTCTGTCACTGTAATACCGATAGTTCAGCCATTTTAAAAGTATTTTGGCTGATTTTTTTACTGAACATTACTTACACTCCGTACAAGACAACCCTATAAAGGATTATATAATTGAACAATAAATGACCAAGTTACAGATCGAACAAGGTGAAAAAAGAAAAATTAGGATTTTTGCCTACCACCAAAGTTGTACATTTTACCACTCGCCCAGGTCATCAGATATCGCTTCAATCATTCTTGTGAGTGTAGTTGATGATCATATCCAACTTTTTGGAGCAGGATTTCTCCCAATTTTGAGTTTTAAGGTATGAAATGTGGCCTCAAACGAATTTGTAAAATTCATCGTAAAAAAGGCAGATTTAAGGCTTAAAATGCCTATATAACTCAAAAAGTGTCAGTTTTTTTAGTGATTTTAGAAGACAAATTGTCTTAAATAATTTTCCAGCTCGAACACAAGGGTCCCCCCTTGTATAAATTTTGTACAAATTGTACACATTTTTTTACAAATTTTTTGTCTTTAACTATTTTAAATTTGGTACTAAAAGATTCGTCTTACCAAGCTGATTACGATCCTGTACAAATTATTTCAAAAAAACTGACACTTTTTGAGTTATAGGCATTTTAAGCCTTAAATCTGCCTTTTTTACGATGAATTTTACTAAGTCGTTTGAGGCCACATTTCATACCTTAAAACTCAAAATTGGGAGAAATCCTGCTCCAAAAAGTTGGATATGATCATCAACTACACTCACAAGAATGTTTGAAGCGATATCTGATGACCTGGGCGAGTGGTAAAATGTACAACTTTGGTGGTAGGCAAAAATCCTAATTTTTCTTTTTTCACCTTGTTCGATCTGTAACTTGGTCATTTATTGTTCAATTATATAATCCTTTATAGGGTTGTCTTGTACGGAGTGTAAGTAATGTTCAGTAAAAAAATCAGCCAAAATACTTTTAAAATGGCTGAACTATCGGTATTACAGTGACAGACTTCTCCAAATTTTAAAAATTTTCGAAAAAGAAAAATATTTTTTTTCTCGACGAGGGAATATTTTTAGAAAATTTTGAAGGTGTGCAATCTTATTCTTTTTGTCTATTGAACCATAATATAAAATAAAATCGATGTTCGGAGCAAAAACGTTTTTGGTGTATCTCCCCTTAATAGTAAGGGGAAAAGTGGTCGATTTAAGGGTTCCGTTGGATTTGAATGTTCACAAGGATTTCTCAACGGAATATGGTAGTTAGGACCCCTACGAACATAATTAGACTTGTTGCCAATTTTGTATCTCAACAGAAACACCACTTTTACCACTTTTTACCACCTTTGTACCACTTTTCTGGTTTGCCAAATATCTTTAGTTGTGAACGTCGTAGAAGGCTGAAAATTAACCTAGAATGTTTATCTTATCAAGGAGTAAAAATTTTGTACCAAAAATTTTTACATTGGACAATCAGCTAATTGGATAATTACCAATTAGTTAATCACCAAAAAAAGTGAAAATTTTTTATTGGCTCAAAATGATTAAAATCGTTTGAAACACGGAGAAATGTAGTTTTTAGAAAAACTTCAAAAATTTTTGACTTAAAATTTTTTTTCGAGACTTGAAAAAAAAGTTTGAAAATTTGAAAATATTTTTTTCCGCCAAAAGTGATCAAATTGCATGAAACGTGGATAAAAATGCCTTGCAGAAAAATTTCGAAGATTTTTAGATTGAGGAATACTAAAATCATCAATATTTGAAGTTGGAGTTCAGTAAATCTCGACATATTTTAGTAATTAGGAATAGCTTAGCGGAAAGGGCTGGACCTGAAAAAGGTTAACCACACAATATTAGAGTTTCATAACTAATTACAATACAGCTTTATCAAATTCCACATAAAGAAACAGCACAAAAGGACCATTTAAGATCGAACCGATTTTACCTGCTGTACTATCATTTTATTGATTTCAATGATCAAAACCTCTGTCAATCTTGCCAATCTATACCGGGTATCTGAATGTACCGGACCTCTTATTTACCTCTATAATTAGACCCAGTTGTGCAAGAAATGCGATTTCTCACAGGGGTTTCTTTAAACTGTGCACTTTTTGTCACTCTCGCAACTCGCAAGAGGCCTGGTATTATAGGGGGGGGTATAGGAAGCGAGTGTAAATATACCTTCCATCATCCATTGTGGCTTTTTTGTATTGTGAATGCGCATGCCGCTTCGTTTGCTATGCCATATACCTCGAATAACCCCATATGTCATTGCCAGGGTCGGGATAGAGCTGGAGATAGCATTGAAAAGTTGCTAGAAATAGCTAGATTTAGAGTAAACTGGTGGTAGCTGGGTGGTGCTAGCATGGATGTAGCAGAACGTAGCTACACGGGGTTTCATTGGAGTTGGTTATTTTAATGGCCAAAGAGTGCCGGAACTAAAGTTACTTAAGATTGCAGTTTAGGGGCAGTGTAAACCACGGTGTAGTCAGGGACACAGAGCTACAGTGCAGGAGTACTGCAATAGAACAGTGCAAGTGATACACTTACAGTCTGCAACAGTAAAACGCCGACGAAGCTAGACTTAGAGTGAACTGATGGAAGCTGGGTGGTGCTAAAATGGAGGTAGCAGAACGTACTACATGATGAAAACAGGAAAACTAAGGCTGGTTGAGACCTAAAAAGATGTGAATCTGTCCTGATAGATCCAGTGAAGAGCGAGTAGCGAAGAGTTTGATCACTAACCTAAAGCTCTAAAGAAGAAGAGGGCTAAAGAGACTCACTTTGATCAATAAATCCGGTACGGCAAGGTCTGTAGCCTTGATAAGAAGATACCATGAAGTAATTCATGCGGAAAGTTGATTTATATAAAGGGTTTCGTTGGATCTAAAAAGGGTGGGTCAGTCTCTCTGTTTTCATCAGATTCTGATGAAATGCTGTTAAGCTCAGGACGGTGATCTTAATAGGTCGGATAGCTGTATCTGGTTGCTTCCAGCCCACCCTTGTCGCTTGAAAATTAGTTCTCACCCCACCTCTTCCAAAAATGCAGTTACCAGAGCAGGAAACTCTTCTTCCTCCTCTTCTTTCAACACAAACACAATCAGGTTCCAGCTACTCTCCTCCTCTGCAGCCACAATCTTATCTCCTTCTTCGGAGTTTTACTGTTGCAGACTGTATCACTTGCACTGTTCTTTTGCAGTACTCCTGCACTGTAGCTCTGTGTCCCTGACTACACCGTGGTTTACACTGCCCCTCAACTGCAATCTTTAGTAACATTAGTTCCGGCACTCTTTAGCCATTAAAATAACCAACTCCAATGAAACCCCGTGTAGCTACGTTCTGCTACATCCATGCTAGCACCACCCAGCTACCACCAGTTTACTCTAAATCTAGCTATTTCTAGCAACTTTTCAATGCTATCTCCAGCTCTATCCCGACCCTGGCAATGACATATGGGGTTATTCGAGGTATATGGCATAGCAAACGAAGCGGCATGCGCATTCACAATACAAAAAAGCCACAATGGATGATGGAAGGTATATTTACACTCGCTTCCTATACCCCCCCCTATAATACCAGGCCTCTTGCGAGTTGCGAGAGTGACAAAAAGTGCACAGTTTAAAGAAACCCCTGTGAGAAATCGCATTTCTTGCACAACTGGGTCTAATTATAGAGGTAAATAAGAGGTCCGGTACATTCAGATACCCGGTATAGATTGGCAAGATTGACAGAGGTTTTGATCATTGAAATCAATAAAATGATAGTACAGCAGGTAAAATCGGTTCGATCTTAAAGGTGAACAGACCGAATCACTACATGACTGAATCCCTAACGGACTGAATCACTACCAATCACTATTGGTAGGGATTGAGGTATATTTTAGGACTGAATCACTACCGGACTGAATCACTACCGCTAATATCTAAACCCAACCACTTTGATGTGATCCCTATTGAACTTTGCAATAAAGGCATAATTATTTCATAGTCCACCAGCACCGACTGAGGGTAGAAGGGTCCGTAGGAGTCCAGTTC